GAGCTGCTGTTCTCACCTGAAGCTGTTGAAAGTCACTGTGGTGTTTTAATTACACCAGATCCTACATCAATCATGCCCCCTGGTGGCCAACTGTATCCCTCCAAGACCAACCCCCCCCCCCGTTTTTTTTCATCGTTGTATTCGTCCGTCAACTGTCTTTCTATAAAACAAGTCTAAACTGACCTGTCCCCTGAGCTGTCTGTAGGTGGCGCTCTCCTCAACTCAACGTTTTACTGCAGGACTGAAAAAAATAGAACAAAAAAAAAAAAAAAAGTGAAAAACGCGATCAGGCAAAAACAAAAAAAACTGCTACTGCAATAAAACAGTCACTGAGCGAAATGTAATTTCTCACTCCACTGCCCTCTGTCTGTGGGGAGGGGAAGTGCGGGAAAATTAATTAATTAATTCACCCATTTTTATAACAACAATATCAAATGTTTTCGGAAATGTTATTATTTTATATTTTCAATAAATTTGTTTTGTTATTTTTAATGGAGAAAATGTAACAACAACGACGACAACAACAACAACAACAACAACAACAACGTTGACGTCAGTCGATCTCTTTAATCCATAAATAAAAGTGTTAATTCACGAAGGAGTTTTTTTTTTTTTTTTTTTTTTTTAACAGACAGTTTAATCAACGCAATAAATGCGATTAAAAATACCAATGATCGTCCGGCAGGAAAAGCCAAAGGTCAAAGGTCACAGACCGGCCTGTGACCTTTGACACCTGTAGGAATGAGAACCATCTGTCTGAGTCACTCACCCTTTTTGACTCACCCTCGTGACCTCAACTGACCTCAGGTGACCTCACGACCTGCGGCTGGACTTGACCTTTGACCTCTGAGGGTCAAGCGTCTGTGGCTCAGATAGAAAAACAAAAAACCTACAAAATACCTCTCAGTGAGAGTACGCATTCACAACATATACTGTACAGGTGCAGTTTTACTGCAGTACTATTTCATTTTCAAGTTTTTATGCCGATAAAAAACCACAGGTGAGTATCCTTCGTCGGGGGTCAGCGACCTCCAGGGGTTTGCTGAGGTACTGCAGGTCTAATTACTTCATCCAATCACATCTTTCACTCGTTGCTAACTTCTATTACGCCACTAACACTCCAGGCCTGTAGGTGGCAGGAGAGAGAGAGAGAGAGAGAGAGGTTGAATGCTACTGGCAATCACAGGTTACAGGTGGCGGTCCCTGCTGGTCGGTCCCAGTCATGACTTCACGTTGACCCTGTTTTTTTACAGTCAAGATAAAAGGAAACTCTTCTACAGAGTAAAAAGTACCACAACAGTTCCAGGAACCACAGGGACCACAACAGTCCCAGGAACCACGACAGTCCCAGGAACCATAACAGTCCCAGGAACCATAACAGTCCCAGGGACCACAACAGTCCCAGGCCCACAACAGTCCCAAGGAACCATAACAGCCCCAGGAACCATAACAGTCCCAAGGACAATAACACTTCCAGGAACCCCAACTGGCCCAAGGAACCACAACAGTTCCAGGGACCGCAACAGTCCCAGGGACAACAACAGTCCGAGGAACCACAACAGTTCCAGGGACCGCAACAGTCCCAGGGACGACAACAGTCCCAGGAACCATAACAGTCCCAAGGACAATAACACTTCCAGGAACCCCAACTGGCCCAAGGAACCACAACAGTTCCAGGGACCATGACAGTCCCAGGAACCACAGGGACCACAACAGCCCCAAGGAACCATAACAGCCCCAGGAACCATAACAGGCCCAGGGACCACAACAGGTCCAGGGACCACAACAGCCCCAAGGAACCATAACAGCCCCAGGAACCATAACAGTCCCAGGGGCCATAACAGTTCCAGGAACCACAACAGTCCCAGGAACCACAGGGACCACAACAGCCCCAGGAACCATAACAGTCCCAGGGGCCATAACAGTCCCAAGGACTATAATAGTTCCAGGGACCATAACAGTCCCAGGGACCAGAACAGTCCCAGGAACCCCAACAGTCCCAAGGAACCATAACAGTCCCAGGGGCCATAACAGTTCCAGGAACCATAACAGGCCCAGGGACCACAACAGTTCCAGGGACCGCAACAGTCCCAGGGACGACAACAGTCCCAGGAACAACAAGAGTCCCAGGAACCACAGCGACCACAACAGTCCCACAACAGTCCCAGGGCCCACAACAGTCCCAGGAACCAAAACAGTCCCAGGGACAACAACAGTCCGAGGAACCACAACAGTCCCAGGAACCACAACAGTCCCACAACAGTCCCAGGAACAACAAGAGTCCCAGGAACCACAGGGACCACAACAGTACCAGAAACCATCTCCGTCCCAGAACAGTCCCAGGAACCACAACAGCCCCAAGGAACCACAACAGTTCCAGGGACCGCAACAGTCCCAGGGACGACAACAGTACCAGGGACCACAACAGTACCAGAAACCATCTCCGTCCCAGAACAGTCCCAGGAACAACAAGAGTCCCAGGAACCACAGCGACCACAACAGTCCCAAGGACAATAACACTTCCAGGAACCCCAACTGGCCCAAGGAACCACAACAGTTCCAGGAACCATAACAGGCCCAGGGACCAAAAAAGGCCCAGGGACGACAACAGTACCAGGGACCATAACAGATCCAGGAACCACAACAGACCCAGGAACCATAACAGTCCCAAGGACAATAACACTTCCAGGAACCCCAACTGGCCCAAGGAACCACAACAGTCCCAAGGACTATAATAGTTCCAGGGACCATGACAGTCCCAGGAACCCCAACAGTCCCAAGGAACCATAACAGCCCCAGGAACCACAACAGACCCAGGGACCATAACAGCCCCAGGAACCACAGGGACCACAACAGACCCAGGAACCATAACAGTCCCAAGGACTATAATAGTTCCAGGGACCATGACAGTCCCAGGAACCCCAACAGTCCCAAGGACAATAACACTTCCAGGAACCCCAACTGGCCCAAGGAACCACAACAGTTCCAGAGACCATATCAGTCCCAGGAACCAAAACAGTCCCAGGAACAACAAGAGTCCCAGGAACCACAGGGACCACAACAGTCCCAGGGACCACAACAGTTCCAGAGACCATATCAGTCCCATAACAGTCCCAGGGACGACAACAGTCCCAGGAACCACAACAGTTCCAGGGACCGCAACAGTCCCAGGGACCACAACAGTCCGAGGAACCACAACAGTCCCAGGGACCACAACAGTCCCAGGGACAATAACAGTTCCAGGAACCACAACAGTTCCAGGAACCATAACAGTCCCAGGAACCACAACAGTTCCAGGAACCAAATCAGTCCCAGGAACCAAATCAGTCCCAGGGACCACAACAGTTCCAGGGACCACTGTCCTCTCGGGGTGACGTTGTTCCACCTCCGACCCTAAACCCCCTTCTTCCAACCCGCCGTCGTTCAACGGCTCCATCTAACTGCGCAGCTCTTTAGCGCCCCCTAGCTCCAGGTCCGGACACACCCACTGAATGTCCTGACTGCGTCGTCCACTCAGGGTGTTCACGGTGGGACGGCCGTCGTCCTCCGGGGGGACGGTGGTGAACGTGGTGAACTGCACCCGTTTCCTCCTGGTGGTGGGCGAGTCGCCTTTGTTCTCCCCGTCCGTGGTCCCACGACCTTTGCCCTTTTGGGCGGAGCCTCCGTTCAACAAGTGGAGACCACCGCCGGAGTCCAGGTGGGGCGACAACCGGATCCGGCTCTCCGGCGGTTCTGCCTCGTTCCCGGTCCACACCCAGTCGTGAGCGTGGTTCGTGTTCTCCCGCTCCTCCAGGGGGAGCTCTTTGTGCCGGTACTTCAAGGTGTAGGAGACACAGTTGATGAGGAAGACCAGGACGGCCAGGCAGAAGACGCCCAGCAGGGCGTACATGCCGATCTCCAGGTCCGTCAGTCCGTGAGCCGCCCGGACCAGCTCGTCGTCCGCGCCGCCGCCGGGACGGTCGGGGAAGTCGGCGAAGTTCTGCCGACCCTGGCTGTCACCTGACGGCCTGTCGCCTCCAGGGCGGCTCGGTGCTGCGCTCCCGGTGGGGGGGGGGGCTCTCCTCCTCCAAACCCCTTCGTCCACTTCAGGGACGGGGCTGCCGTAAGAATGGGTGTTAAGTCCCGTCCTGTCCTGCCCTCGGTCGTCCACGTTGTCTCCCGCCGGACCGCGATCGAACCTCACCCTCAGGTCGCAGCTGCCCGACGCCAACGCGCTCCTCCTCCTGCTGGACTTCTGGCAGGACTCGCGGACGGTCATCTCCACCCGGACCAGGACGCCCTGACCTTCGGCCTCGGCCACGACGACGGGCAGCCTCCACCAGGGGTCGTGTCGCACCGTGACCACCGTCTCGTCCAGGGACGTGGCGGTGAGGACGAACAGGTCTGGGCCGTAGAGGTCCAGAGGCGCCGCCGAGCCGTCGCTGAAGTGGAGCCAGGCGCCGACCCAGGCCTCCTGTCGGAACCACACGGGAGTTAGCGTTAGCGTTAGCGGGAGGGTTAGCGTTAGCGTTAGCCTTTGTTCAATGAGAAAATGACTTT